TCCTCCTCCTCCTCCTCCTCCTCCTCCTCCTCCTAAGAAATGAAAGCAGCAGGGTGATTTCGCCCTGGCTGCTGTTTAAAACAGCGCGAAGCGCTGCTGAAACCTTGGGAAAGTCCTGGGCCTCAGGAGGCCCAGGCGCGAAGCGGAAAAAAGAAACGTCAGGTGGCGTCAGACCAGGGCCGGCGGACCACGGGACCCGACCGGAGCTAATTAGATCGACAGTCTGCAACCGACACCTCAACCACCACCACCACCAGAAGGAGGGGGAGTGGGGTCGTCATCGTCGCCGCCGGCCGCCCCGCCGCCAGCCACGCCGCCGTCCGTGGGGGGGGGCAGGGAAGGGAGGGGGGGAGGGTCCCGGAAAACTCTCGGCGGAAGGACCACGTCCCCGAAGGCCCAGCCGCCACCGCGGCCAGCCCTGGTCAGGCCAGCCAAGGCCTGCATGATGTCGATGCCGAGGCGGCACGCCATCACCTGCAGGTCCGCCCTGCGCCGGACCGAGCCCCCGGCCGCCTTTTGGTGATCCACCCCGAGTTCAACGTGACACGGGGCTGGGCCCCTCACCAAGCCGGCGCGACCCGAAACTTCCTGCCGAGCTCGCGCCTGCGTCCAGCAAAGCGCGGGCACTCCGCCCAGAAATGCCGAGCCGACGCCTGAGTGTGGCCGCGCCCAAAGGGGCAGATACACGCGCCGCCAGGGGCAGCCGGGCCCCGCACGCGGGTAGGCGTGCACACGGCCCCGCCCCGCCAGACCTCTCATCGAATCGTCCCAAAGCCCGCCGATACTGAGCCCACGGCGGCGCGCTGGGGGCAGCTAGATCGATCGATCTCCCCGATCCCTTCCTCGTCGTGGCGCGGGGGCCCCGGAGGTCCCCGAGCACGAAGGAGCGCCGCCCGGGCGCATTCCCGGAGAACGTGCTGACCGCGATCGGACGAGGCGTCGAAAGCTCCCCGGGGAGGGCGGGGATGGCCCCTGGGAGTCTGGGCTCTCGCTTCGCGGCTGTCGTCGGCAGCAGCCGCCGCGACCGCAGCCGCCGCCCTCGGGTCGAGCCCAGGAGCCGGCTGCAGCCACGTGCCCTCGGGGAGCGGCCCGGTCGAGACCGGGCGCAACCCGAACACCCCGGAATGCTCCGAGAGCGCCACCGACAGCAGCCGCGAGGCGGGACACCCCCGCGCCGCCTTCAGAACGGCGCAGGCCGTGCCGAATATCGGGTGCAGTGAGATCCGCTCGGCATACCATCGCCGGGCACGCCGCCAAGCGCAGCGGGTGCGGACCACCGACCTGGGCGTGAGCGCGATCAGATCCGGGGGCGGGATCGCGCAGAACGGCGCCGACCATCTGTGCTTAGGGGCGACGCGCATCAAGGCCGCGAGCTCCCGGATCCGTTGCCCGCCGGGGACCGTGCGGAGCCGGCGCAACTGGGAGCGGATCATATCCCACCCGTCCCGCGGTTCTGGCAGCTGGGGCCAGGCCGCGGCATCGCCGACAGCAGCTCGCACCCCTCAGTGCTCAGCGCTCTGAATGCCCGACCAAACCTGGCGTTTTCCGAAATTTTCAAAGAAACCGAGACGACGATCGATCTCCGCCGTGATCGCAAGGGCCCGGTCCCGGTCGACCGCCGCAGCAGCCTTGAGAGACCGGTCGTCCACATAAGACCACCCGCGAATCCTGGGCACCGAGCGGACCGCGCTGTGCCAGGGGAGAAACACAACGGTGAAGACACGGCCCCAGAGGGGGTCACCTGGCGGCAAGCCTCGCGTGGGGTTTAGGGCACCTGCCAAGTCGCCGGTCACCGAGCAATACCTCGGGGCCCGCCAGACCGCCTCAAGAGCAGCCACCACAGGCGGCGGCGTGCCTTGGTATCTAAGGGCGGCACTCGACAGGCCGTGGTCCACCGAGTCGTACGCCCGGCTGAGGTCGACCTCAGCTCCCGCGTTGCCGGGCGCGGCAGCCCAGTCAGCCACGGAGGCCACGGCGCCACGTTCCCCGAACGCCTCGGCAGGGGCGGCGGGGGGGAGCGCGTCGATGAGACAACGGCCCCACGCTCGCATCCACACCGGCCCGATCGCGATCGGCCGGGCGTCGTCGGAACCCCGTTTCGGAATGCCGACCACGCGCAAGGCTCCGAACGCCCGCAAGCGTTCGTCGGGCCACGGGCTGGGGCCTCCTCCTCCTCCTCCTCCTCCTCCTCCTCCTCCTCCTCCTCCTCCTCCTCCTCCCCCTCTTCCAGAGTTGTTCATTGAATGGGCCCCAGCGTGGCGCGACTACGAGTCAGTCGCGTTTCGGGTGCTGGGCCTTGCATTGCTGAGCGCCGACATCCAGGGGAAAACTGGGATGCGGCTGACGTTCTGCTACCGTTGCGGGGCCTACTTCGGGGGCAAGTCCCCGGGGGAGTGCATGCGCCCTTTCTGCAAGGGCCCGAGGGGCGGCCCGAGGCTCAAGGAGCAATCGTCCAACCTTTCGAAGGGAGACCATCCCCACCACCGCAAGGCAACGAGGGGCCTTGAAGCTTGCGCCACCCGAGGGCGCCCCCTGGGAGGAGCACCAGCGGCTGCATGCAATTTTCTCGCACGCCCTGCGTTGGCCACGCCCGCCCGGCCACGTGCTGGGAGGCGGGCGCGGGGCCTCCCCGGAGACGTCGCCGCGGCAGGCTGTGCTCTGTGCGCTCGGCATCGAGTGAAGTCAAGAACACCATCACTCCCCCTCCTCCTCCCTCCTCCTCCTCCTCCTCCTCCTCCTCATTCTCCCCCCCTTATCCTCCTATCTCCTCCTCCCTCCTCCTCCCCCTCCTTATCCTCCTATCCTCCTCCTCCTCTCCTCCTCCTCCTCCTCCTCCTCCTCCTCCTCCTCCTCCTCTTCTCCTCCTCCTCCTCCTCTCCTCCTCCTCCTCCTCCTCCTCCTCCTCCTCCTCCTCCTCCTCCTCCTCCTCCTCCTCCTCCTCCTCCTCCTCCTCCTCCTCCTCCTCCTCCTCCCCCATCTCCAAACAATTAGCAGAGTGCGAATAGTTTTTTTTGGCTCCAGCGCTGATCGCAGACCGAGTTCAGGCGTCTAGATACCTCAAACTAGCGCGCCTGATGATTCCCTTCCGATTTTTGTGCCGAACAGCCATGTAGCTCATCTACAGCTCGACCTCCCGGGGGTGCGGCTGCGCGGCCAGAGGGTGGCAGCCCGGGCGGCTGCAGTCCGCGGCTCGGGCTCCCCGTCGACGAGCAGTGCGGAGGAGGAGGAGTGGCAATTTGTTCTAGTGGCTTCCACTGCCTTCCGAGGCCGATGCCAGCCCAGCCCTCCTCATCCCCCGTCTCGCTCTTACACCTTGTCGTGGTGCTCGCCTTCGGCCTCCTCCTCCTCCTCCTCCTCCTCCTCCTCCTCCTCCTCCCTCTCCTCCCTCCACTTTCTCCTTCTCCGCCTCCGTGTCCTCTTCCTGCTCCTCCTCCTCCTCCTGCTCCTCCTCCTCCCTCCTCCTCATGACCCTCCATCCATTCCTGCACGGCCTCCCCCGTGATGTCACGCATACCTCGCCGAGGAGGTGACGGCGGAGGAGAGGAAGGCCCGCCATTTCAAGAGCAGGGCCGCGCGGTCAACGGTAACGTCACTTATACTACCATAAGTCCCTTGGTCCGTGCGCGCTCGCCCTCATTTCGCCAGCATGCAAGAGTCGCACGACTGCGGGGGCGCCGCGCGGGCGGTGATGGGAATCTTGGGGGGCAAGGGGGGGGGGAAGAGAGGACAGAGGGGGGCGGGGCGAGGTAAGGTGGGCAGAGATGGCAGCAGGGGGGGGGGGAGTTAAGGAGGTGCGGGGCGAGGCAAGGGTGGGGGAGGAAGAGAAGGGGGCAGAGGGGAAGCGGGGGGAGGTAAGGGGGCGGATGTGGTGTGTGTATGTGTGCATGTGTATGGGTGTGGGTGGGCGGGGGGGGCGGAGAGCTGCAGCGACAGGACTCGCAGGCGCTGGGGATAGCCGGGGCGCCTGGTCGCGTGGTGCACTAGGCACCGCAGCGGACGCACCTAGCTCCAGCAATGAGGCGTGTTAGAGAGCGATAAGATGCACGCAGTCTGTGCACGCGTGCCTGGACGACGGTCCTCGAGAGCTCTCGGTGATTTTTTTTTTTTTTTTTTTCGCTTGGGCGGGTGGGTGGGGAGGGTCCGCGCCGGATCGGTTTTGCCAAGGCCCCGGAGCCTGTCAGCGGCATCCAGCGGCCCCAAGACCCAAACATCAACATCGTAGCCCATGAATCGCTCACGACGCCGAAATCGGGGGACCATCGCGGGCGCTTAGGTTCTATAGGTCTGGGAGCCTAACGTATGACGCGCAAGAAAAGCCGCGCCCGGAGAACGGGAGCCGCGGGCTTCGAAGTCAGCAATCTCATTGCCGAGTGCGCGATTCGAGGCACTGTACAGGTTAGGGCCAGGGATGCACACCTAACTATACGTTGGCATGCAATTCCCCCTGCTGCTAGTGCTCTCTGCATCTCTCTGCCTCCGCGCCATCCCCAGCCAGGGTCCGGGAGCGGAGGAGGGATCGAGCGGGGAGGCGGGGCAAGAGGGCGGGAGGGCAGGAGGATGAGCAACACCGAAGTTAGGGGGGGAGGGAGGGGAAGAAAAGACGAAGCGAGAAGCGAGGGCGGGAAACGAACGGGGTGCGGGAGGAGACCGTTCAAGGCAATGCTGGTGCTGCTTGTGCCGGCTGGGCTTCCTCTTGATTTTTGCTGGGGCGTGGCGGATTGAGAGGTGGTATTCCCGCGAGGAGTACCTGCCAAGCGCACAGGGCACAGGAAAGGAAACAGACTACAAAGCACTCAGGAAATGAACTAAGATCCCACGGCGTCGGAGGATGAGGAAGCATGGCAAACAAATGGAGAAGGAACACGGGGAAGATCACGAGGATGATGAGAGGGACGAAAGAAGGCTGATGAGGAGGAAGCCGTTGTCCCGCAAGAGAAGCCTCACACATTTTGCCCGCAATGCTGCGCTCCACCGCCCGCACCGCCGTCACGCTTGCCGTCTCACAAACTGCCAAGCCTGGAGAACACGATCACAGCGCAGGCAACCGTGAACAACTGCACGACGAAGAAAATGAACACGCCTGTGATGAAGTACTGGATGGCGTCGTTCAAATAATCGTTGGTCGACCCGATCGGGTCCTGCGTCCAGGTGCAAGCTGGAAGGTCAAATCGCTCGGATCGCAAATATAGCCGATCGTCGATCGCTTCGAAGGCAATGCCTAATTCGCAAGTCTAGGCAGAACCGCGGGTTGGTTGACATGACTTTCCGAGGCAGTATGGTCCTGTGTCCAGGTGAAGAACAAGGGGTGGACGGCCTTGATGTGGAACGCCGCCTCTGCGCGGATTCAGGAACCTAAGTGTCAACCTGTTCCTTGACACTCTGCCTTCCCCCCGCCATAGTAAGAGATAAAAACAATGAATCAAGGGGTACATTAAGGGGAAGAGTACGGACGACGGGGACAAGCGTTGGAAACTAAAGTTATCTGGGGACAATGCTGTGATTGTGATAGCCTAGTGGGAATGGCCGTGGTACTGACGGTGGTGGCATCAGTTGCCGAAACAACAATTACTCACTGCGTGGCTCCCCATATGTGCATCCTTTTTTTAAGAAGTAAGATTGTATCTGGGTCTATAGGAACACACGTAAAACACCAAGGACTCGTGCCCCAGGAGAGGCCCAATATGTAGGAACGTAAGTAAAGCATGTACGATTGTGTACACAGGAGAAGGACAATATATAGAAACATACGTATAACATCAAGGAATCGTGCTCCAGGTGGGGCCCAATCGATAGGAGCATACGTAAAACACATAGGATTGGAACCGCTCCTGTTGCCTTCTGAGGCCTCCTGCTCCTGAGGCCTCTCGGGGCCTTCTGTTGCCTTCCGAGGCCTCCTGGCGTTTCCTGTGGCCTCCTGTGGCCTCCTGTGGCTTCCTGAAGCCTTCTGGAGCTTCCTGGGGCCTCCTGGAGCCTTTTGGGACATCCTGTGGCCTCTTGAGTCTTCTTGTGGTCTCCTTATGCCTCCTGGTACCTCATGTGGTCTCCTGGGGCCTCCTGGGGCCTCCTGATGCCTCCTGGCATCCTGAGAAGAATCTGCGCCCACGAACCTGGCCACCAACGCAAGCAAACCGATCGAGACATCCTCAAACTCTGGCCCACCTGGGGGGTGAGCATGAGCGCCTCGCTCGAGACATCCTCCAAATCTGCTCTGGATTCGAAAAATGTTGGGACAAAAAACGAGCAAACCGCTCGAGACATCCCCACAAACCGGCCGCGAACGGGTCCGTGAAAACACCCCTGGCGGCCCCCCTTCGGGGGGTGAAAATGAGCGCCTCGCTCGAGACATCCTCCAAATCTGCTCCGAAAGCGAAGGATGTTGGGACAACAAATTACTCGACGCGGGGCTCCCCATATGTGCATATCATTATTTTGGTACGTCTTTCTCTTGATATCTGTCAATGAGCGCCTGTGTGCGAGGGCGAACCGCTCGCTCGAGACATTCCCACAGTCTGCAAGCATGAGTGCGACCAATCGCAAATCTGAGAGCGACTGATTCTGAGTGTGAGTTAATCTGGGTGCGATTGAGCTTGGGTTTGAGTGGGTATGCGTGTGAGTAAATATGAGCGCGAGTGCGTCTGTGTGCGAGTGGGTCTGAGTATGGACGAATCTGAGTGTGAGCCAGTCTGTGATTGAGCGGATCGTAGCATGATGAGTCTGAGCATGAGTGAGTCTGGGCTTGAATGGGTCTGAGTGAGAGAGAGAAAGTGTGCGTTAATGAATCTGAGTGCGAGTGAGCCGAGTGTGATTGGGTATGGATGTGAGGCAGTCTGCGTGTGAGTCGGTCTGCGTTTGAGCGGACCGAAGGATGATGAGTCTGAGCAGGAGCGAGTCTGATTATGAGTGGTTCTGAGCGTGAGTCTAAGTGTGAATAAGTTCAAGTATGGATATGAGCGAGTCTAAGTGCGAGTGAGCCTGCGTGTGACTGAGTCTGAGTATGAATGAGTATGAATGCAGAAGAGTGAAGGAGAGCGGAGAGCGAAGGAGAGTGAGGCGGAAGCGTTTGAGTAAAACCTAAACTTTGGAACACCGAACCTCGATCGTCTGGCCCTGGCTACTCGAATTGCCCACGTCCTCCTCCTCCTCCTCCTCCTCCTCCTTCTCCTCCTCCTCCTCCTCCTCATCATCATCCTCCCCTTCCTGCTTCTGCTCCTACCGTGTTCATGCTGTCCTCCTTCTCCTCCTCCTCCTCCTCGTCCTCTTCCTCCTCCTCCTCGCTTCCTCCTCCTCTCCTCCTCCTCCTCCTCCTCCTCTTCCTCCTCCTCCTCCTCCTCCTCCTCCTCCTCCTCCTCCTTGGGAGTGCTGAAACCAGCAAATCGCCTGAGACATCCTCCCAAAACTGCTCCGAAAACGACAGATGCCCAGCATCATAACGGCCAAACCGCCTGAGACATCCCCGCAAACTGGGCGCGAACGTCCTCCAAATCTGCTCCGAAAGCGAAACATGTTGGAAGAGAAAATGACCAAACCGCCTGAGGCATCCCCACACAATCCCGCGAAAGGGGCCGAGTGAAATACCCCTCCCGCCGTTCCCCTTAGAGTGCTGAAGCCAACGAATCGCCTGAGACATCCTCCAAATCTGCTCCGAAAGCGAAACATGTTGGAAGAGAAAATGGCCAAACCGCCGAGACATCCCCACAAAATCCCGCGAGAGGGGCCGAGTGAAACACCCCCCCGCCGCTCCCCTTAGAGTGCTGAAGGCAACGAATCGCCTGAGACATCCTCCAAATCTGCTCCGAAAGCGAAACATGTTGGAAGAGAAAATGACCAAACCGCCTGAGACATCCCCACAAAATCCAGCGAGAGGGGCCGAGTGAAATACACCCTCCGCCGCTCCCTTTAGGAGTGCTGAAACCAGCGAATCGCCTGAGACATCCTCCAAATCTGCTCCGAAAGCGAAACATGTTGGAGAGAAAATCGCCAAACCGCCTGAGACATCCCCGCAAAATCCTGCGAAAAGGGCCGAATGAAATACCCCCCCGCCGCTCCCTTTAGGAGTGCTGAAGCCACAGAATCGCCTGAGACATCATCAACATCAGTGTGTGTGTGTGATCCGATGAGTGGACCTGAGTGAATGTAGTGAATGTATGAGTGCAAGTACGAGTGAGTCTGAGTGATGAGTGAGTCTGGGTGATGAGTGAGTCTGAGTGATGAGTGAGTCTGAGTGATGAGTGATGAGTCTGAGTCATGACTGAGTCCGAGTGATGAGTGAGTCTGAGTGATGAGTGAGTATGAGTGATGAGTGGGTCTGAGTGATGAGTGAGTCTGAGTGATGAGTGAGTGGGTCTGAGTGAGAGGAGTGGTGTGGTCTCTCTTTCCTCCGGCGCGGTCCGCCAATAACAAGAACCCTATACTCAGGATATGGGGAACAAGCAAGCCGCTCGAGACATCCCCACAAAACGGCTGCGAACGGAACCGTGAAAACCCCCCTGGCGGCCCCCCTTAGGGAGGTGAAAATGAGCGCCTCGCTCGACACATCCTCCAAATCTGCTCCGAAAGCGAAGGATGTCGGGACAGAAAACAGGCAAACCGCTTGAGGCTTTTGTGTGTGAGTAAGTCTGGGTATGAGTAAGTCTGAGTGTGAGTCAGTCTGTGCATGGGTAAGTCTGGGTATGAGGAGGAGAGGGGAGGAGAAGGAGAAGTAGGAGGAGTAGTAGGAGGCGTCCAAGTAATAATTGCTCACTGCGTGGAGCCCCCCATATGTGCATCTATTCGCATGGACCTGTCCGCCGTGAATGTCTAGGCGCAAGAGCTTTCGAATATAAGCGGGCTTCAGTTGTGACGGTCTGGACATAACTTTAACTGCGAATGAATTGGAGTGTGAATGAGCCTTAGTAGTACGAGCGCGTCTCTGTGCATGAGCCTGGGGCCTCCTAGGGCCTCCTGAAACCTACTGGGGCTTCCTGGGGTCTCCGGGGGCCTCTTGGGGCCTCCTGGGACCTCCTAGGGAGGTTTCGTGCCCCAGGAGAGGCGCGCTATATAGCAACAGACGCACATAAAACACTGCGGATTAGAGCCACATTTTTTAATGACAAGGCAGCCCGTGCAGCACGAACCGATCCTGCCGCCAAGATGGCGAGCCGCAAAATGCGGCGAGGAGGCCCGCAAACAGCGGCCTCCGAAAGCAGCGCGCGCGCCGCGCTGCATGGGTATGCGCCGTCAGGTGAGGCAGCCGCACGAGCCACCATCCACCCCGTGCCGAGCCTGAAAAGGCTCAGACCACCGAAGGCACTCCCCAACTCAATCACTCAGGCGCTTGCCCGTCTTTGGGTCCAAGCCCGCCCTGATGTTAGCGACCTTCAGGTTGCGCAGGCGCAGCGCATTGCCTGAGGCTGCGACGCACGTCTTGCCGAGCGTCCTGCGTTTGCCATTGATCTCCTTGGCGCACGCCTTGCAGCGCGTGCAGATCCTGAAGCCGTGGATGCTGAGGAGCGCGTGGCCCACTCCTTCGGCATCCTGGGTGCCTGGTCCCCCAGGCTCGTCCACCTCCGTGGCGTCCTGGGCGACCGCGGGGCCCGCGCCCGCCCGGCCGTCAGCGGGGCCCGCGCGCAGGGCGCCCTGAGCCTCGCGCGCTGCGCGGGCGGCGGCCACCGCACGCATGAGGGCAGCTCCAGGTGAGAGGTCCTGGCCGCTGCTGCTGCTGCTGCTGCCCCCGCCAGCCGCTGTCGCCTCAGCTGGCTGCTCGCGCGCGGCGCGGGCGGCGCCCGCAGCACGCGTGAGGGCAGCGCCAGGCGAGACGTCCTGGCCGCCGCTACTGCTGCTGCTGCCTCCGCCAGCCGCTGCTGCCTCAGCTGGAGGCTCTCGAGCGGCAGCGAAGGGGCTCGGCGCCATCTGCTGGGTCTCTGGCTTGGAGGACGCCACGATCTCGTCGTCCTGCGTGCTCTGGGCCTCCTGCTCAAGCCTGTGCGCCGCTGCCAGCGCCACCGCCACCGCGCCTGCAGACGCCAGGGCCGAAGCAGCTGGCTTGCGCTTCGCGCCGCTTGCCACGGGCGCGAAAGGCTTGCCCGCGCATGGGTCCTTGAGCAGTCTCTTGATGCTGAGGCCGGTGTAGGCCGTCTTGAGGCAGGCCCTGCAGTGCACACCGTCGCCAGCCACCTTGACCACGTCGTGCCTGGTGACGCTGAGAGGCGGCCCTTTGTGAATCGGCTTGCAGTTCGGGTCGATGTCCAGCTTCAGGTCAGCTGCCTCACACCCAGCGCGCGCGACCCAGTGCACGACCCCGCCCAGCGTAAGAGACCGCCGCTGCCAGGCTTCACGCAGCTCGAGTGGTGCCCT